ATTAAGACTTGATTTAATTGTCAAATGATTTATTAAAAACTCTGCCCTGGCACGGCGTAGCTGGTGAGATAAACAGAAGCTGGCAACAAACAGATTCCGACGAATAAATAACTTCAAAAACAAAGACAAAACTTCACAGCTCCACATACAAAAATATACACTCATAATAGGAGAAGAATGACTTTAAAACTCCGTCAGCATCGAACGGTGAGAAATCATCACCGAAGGTTATGAAATTTGCATTTAAACGAACATAACCAGCTATCAGTCTAAGTGGTCCAAGCTTGAGCGTCGAAACCACCAGCTCTGCTGCTGCTGGAAACACCAACTCTCTTTTCCTTAGCGGCTCTCCGTTCTCTCTTCTTCAGGGCGTCCATATTTGCCTTTAGCACATTTGCATAGGCAAGTTGAAACTTGTTCACTTCTTTGGCGGTAACCTGAAAAGACAAAACATCAATCAAAGTTTTGACAGCCACAGATGTACTGCACAATAAGTTTAATCCTTCAGTCAGCCAGTAAAGCTAGAAGAAGGTTCTAGCTGATAGTACAGTTACTTGAATTGATATATAAACATTTTCAAAATACACCCCCCTTGGCTACAAACAAATTAGAAGGTTGACAATGGAAAGATTATATACATATATATAATTCCAGTTTCTAACGATTCCACTAGATGATCAGTCAACCTGAATTTATGGAGAAACATCTGTACAAAGCATGCCCTGTTCGCTTACTTATAACTAAATAAATTACGAAGCATCCTACTGTCATTTTCATACTTTCTTTAATGCCTTGAAACTACGCATTGTAAATTACGCCAAAACGATGCATATTACGCCATTAAAACAAGATCTTAAGCTTTACTACGGTAGAGATCTTCTTGTTGCCAATTTTTGCACGGAAAAGGCACTTATATTCGACAGGCTGATGGGGATGCACTACTTCGGTCTTCGGTTTAGGCTTAGTTCTGCCATCATCTACAAGAAACAAAGTCACCATACTGGTAAACAAACCGACTTGAAAATAAAATGCTTACATCTCTTCATAGTAATAACAATGACGCCAGAAGATCGGCCTTTCTGAAATAATTTCGCAAGATCCGCCAGAAACTAAAACCAATCTTAGGCACGCTAACAATTAAATTTTGTTATCGTTTACCTGGTCATTCTCGAGCAACGTCATTCCGCCCCGAACTGTGGTTCCGCGCCGATTGACGTTCGACGATAGCCCAGGCGTTCTATGCAAGATACACGCAAATAATAAATTTTCAAAAGCCCTCTGCCAGATCTGATAAATCACAAAACTGCTTGTTTATACTGAAGTTAAGAATTAGTTTTATAAGATAACAAAATTAGCTGGTCCGATTGTCAGTAGTACAACATTTGTCAGCATGGTGCATTCGTGCCATAAGTACAAATACAGCTTTTTCGATTGGATCTTAGAATCGCATTCCGTACATTCGAGTGATTCTTTATAGATTCTCTAACAAGTATTTTTCATACATAAGAGCAGTAGCGGTAATGAGTCTAAAAGTTTTTTTCCCGCTTTTTCTCTGGCTGCTACTTTCTTTTCGTTCGTTTCGTTAATAACTGCTTCTTCTACACGGAGTCCATGAGAGCTCATGCTATATAGGGTCCTTACGATGTAAGACAATTAGCACTTCAGCTTAGTTCGAAATATATGAAGTACTCTTCTCACACAATAGGGATGAGTTAAAAGCCACTGGCAACAATCTGCCTATTGGAATGCCTCAACGATACACTTCATATTTCTGGTGACGCATATGCCGAGAAACATTTTAAGGCATGACAACTAAATCCAAACAACCTAATACACCTCGTGCGCCGACCACTCAGACGGCTACTTAACTTAAGGTCCGTATACCTGTACTAAGTGCATGGAAACCTCCAGAAAATTGCAAGTCACGAAACGAAATTATTTCTGCACGTACATGCTGCAATAAACTAAACATTCAGCTATAATAAACAAATGGTTTATTAAACGTCATAGGTTATCTAGTTAATGAAATTCTAACCGAAGTTACGGTTCTGTCCCATATGACC